TATTTGATTGCACTTGTTTTGTCCGATACTGTATATATATATATATATATATATATATATATATATATATATATATATATATATATATATATATATATATATATATATATATATATATATATATATATATATATATATATATATATATATATACATATATATTATATATTGTATATATATATATAGAAATATTTTAAATGAATTCTTAGTTATTTATTAATTAAAGATTATTGTTTATCCATAAAATTAAAAGTGCTTTAATTTTATAAATTCTTCATCCGCTGTTTTTCCTTCACCTCTCTCTTTAAAACAAGAAAATTCTAAAAACCACACGCGTAACTATCTCGTAAATTATTTAAATTAAAGTAGTTTACCGATTTAATTATACAGGTTGAAACAAATTCCATTAAGCAAATCCAGGCTTCGCGTTTTTTTTTAAATCAAGACCCAAATTATATAAATTTATCTAAACCGTTTATACTCATTTTCCTTTAATAAATTGCGATAGATAAATAATTTAATAGGTTTATCATATTAAATAGTTCTTTTTAATATATTGTAGCAAAATTTGTTATAACTTATACACTATTAAAAACGAATTCGATATTCACGTTGTTTTTTTCTTTTTTTTGTTCTTATTACAATATATTAAGGTATAACTATCGTTAAACATTAAATATCAGAACACGTAGACTCAAAGAGGATCGTAAGATCCTGTTACTGAGAACCGTTTAACATTGCAGTAAAAATAAAACCAGTTAAATAATTATAATAATTGACGTTTAGAAATAAAATTTTAATCTAACCAGATATTTAAAACATAAAATAACGTAAACAACATAAAGAATATATATAAAACTAAATACTTCAAAATAAAACAATATATTCTGGAATATATTTCACTGGAATATATATCAATTTTTTAAAAGGTATAAACTCAAAAGGACTCAAAGATATTATCAATTGACAAAAAAACTTTTTTTTCAGCTTTATTTTAAAAGTAAGAAAACTCTAATTTTGAGAAAAATCAAAATTTTTTAAAACTATTTTGTTCCACAGAAGAGCTCCGCGATATGTTAAAAGAGATCTTCCAAAAATTGTATGAGAATAATGTTAATGAATAAGATTGTCATTTCTTAACTCATATTTGTTTTTTTGCTTTATTTTATGTAAATTTTGAAAGGATATAGGGTTTATCTTACATTTGTACATAAATAAAAAAAAATTAAAAATATTTTGCTGGTATATATTAAGAACATTCATTTTCATTAAAAAAGGTCTGGCATGAGTATAACGATCTTTAAAGTTTATTAGACGTGCTATATGCTTCTGTTGCCGATATAGAGGGTCTAATCGAATTTTTTAGCACTATCCCATCCGATATTTGCATAGCCTATATGACATTGAATTAGCGAGTGATAAAGTTGAATTAATGAATGTCTATTTACAAAATTTCTCGCTTTATACATTATTCCAAATTTTTTGAAACCTTATTGCGCAAAGTTTCGATATGGTTTTTCAATGTTAGATTTAGATTAATGAAAACACCAAGGAAATGTATAAATTTTAATTTTCTTATTTGAACATTGTCAATATATATTTGAGGCATATCATTTAGTAAAAGTTTTTTTTGGGATTTCGGATGAAATAAAATTTATGTCTATTTAGTTTTTTCCAAGTTAATTCATAGTTTATTTGACTTAAACCAATTTGAAATTTTAGTTAGCTCTATGTTGGTGTCATTAATAGTGTAATGATATTTTTACCGGATAGAAAAAGATTTGCATCATCAGCAAACATTACTGTCTTCAAATTTGAGGCATTGTGCTGAGCATTAACATAAATGAGAAAAAGCAATGGCCCTAGTATAGACCCTTGGGGAACACCATATGCTATATCTAGTAAATTTGTTGAGGAGGATACGTCAATTTGCACAAACTGTTTACGATTGCTTAAATAGCTTTTTAGCAAATTTAAGAAATTTCCGCTGATTCCATAGTTTTTAAGTTTTTGTATAAGAATCTTATGATCTATTGTATTAAAAGCATTTGATAGATTAATGAAAACTTCAAGAGTAAATTGTGATTTCTCAAAAGAATGTGCAATATTTCTAGTTACATGAAGTATTGCGTATTCCGTGCAATTATTTTTTTTAAATCCATATTGACTGGCACTTAATATTTTATTTTTAGAAAGATATTCATATATTTTATTGTAAAGAGTCCTTTCAAAAACCTTTGAAAAACCAGAGAGTACAGATTTTGGTCGATAATTAGTTATATTTGATAATTCACCACCTTTATATATTAGTGTAACTTTGGCGATCTTTAGCTGGTCAGGAAATACTCCTTGTTTTATTGAACAACTAAACACTTTGAAGAGTATAGTTTTTATGATCTCAATGGATCCAATAATAATGTTACTATTTATTTTGTCCTGACCTCTTGCTTTATTTGTTTTTAGCATTTTATAAGGACCAACAGTTACAAAATGGTTTATAATATATAAATATAAATAATTATTTATCTGATTTGCTATATCTTTTGGATTATATAAGAATTCATCATTATTTCTAATAACTTTTGGTAAGTTGCATATTTTAATCTTATGGTTGCCAGTGATTTCATTTAAATATGTTCGAAAAGTTGTTAAACACTCCTCGAATAACCCAAAGCAATAAAATTCGAAAAATCCCACCGTGCACAAAGCATGATAATGTAATAATAACCGAACAAAATATTAAAGTAGCTATTTCTGCCTTAAAATCAAACAAGTCTAGCGACTCATTTGGTATCTCAGCTGAACATTTGAAACATGCAAATTGTGACGCATTGACACAATGACTAATTAATTTTTTTAATTTCTCAACTAATTATGGTTGGACTCCGAAATCAATGTCTTCACCTATCATTATACCACTAGCTAAATCATATAAAAAGTCCTTGGTAAATCCAAATAACTATCGAGGTATTAGTATAATACCTATTTTTACAAAATTTCTATAATATCTGATTTTAATAATTTGTCCGGAGATCAAGAATACTTACCCACTACAATGTCCAGAGATGAAAAACACTCACCCACTACAATGTCCAGAGATCAAGAACACTCATCCGAAGATCAAGAACACTCACCCGCTACAATTAGGATTTAAATCTAACTATTCAACCCTTCATGCAGAATTTGTAATTAGTGAAACTGTTAAGCATTACAATAGTGAAAATTCAACTGTTTATTTATGCTCCTTGGATGCCGAAAAGGCTTTTGATAGCTGTAAATGGGAAATTTTCTTTGATAAGCGGTACTTCGATAAAAAAACTACCTTTGCATATAGTTAGGATAATCTTTTTATTATATTATAATTGGAGTGCAACTGTCTTATACCAAGGTTGCAAATCAAATGAATTTTATCTTAAACAAGGAGTAAGACAAGGTTCAATTCTATCACCGCACCTTTATAATATTTATACCCAGGACCTTCTCAAAACCATTAAAAATGAAAGTAATATAGGTCCGTCTATATATGGTAACTTTACTGGTGTGGTAGCGTATGTTGATGATATGATACTTTTAAGCTTAACTCTATCTGGTCTAGAAAAATTAATCAAAATTTGTAATGTATACTGCAATTCACATTGCATAAAACTAAACTCTGATAAAACTAAGTTCCTCCTGACAGATAAAAGACAGTTACAAAACTGCTCAATATCTCTTGGTGGTAATCAAATAAATTTACACAATAGACTAAAACACTTAGGGTTTATATGGGATACGGAACACTCTACATTTGCCTCACTTGACAGGGTAAATATTGCTGAAAAAATATCTAATTTTAGGGCAGCTGTTTAAAACTCTTACTCAATCTGGAATCCGTTTTGCTCATCCAAAATCCATCACACAATTATATCAAACCTTGATATAACCAACATTTACTTACGGTCTAGAACTTTGTAAAACCAATGACGTAACAATGCAAAATCTAGACAGAATCGAAAGGAGCGCATTAAAATTGTTTTTTAACCTTTTAAAACATTGCAAAAATTATTTACACCCGTTATTTAAAATTCAAGACATATCAAAATGTATTTACCAAAATAAACTGAACTTATTTATTCGTCTACTGGATAACAAATCGACAAATGATATTATTCAATCTCAGCTTAAAAATCCGACGGTAAAACAATTTTTTGTAGATGATGTCTAGAAGGTGTGCCATATTAGTGGACTAAGTTTTGAAAAATTAAAGAATGAAAAAATAGAATACGTTTTGTGGTGGTGGGGTATAAAATCCCAAAAGGTATTAAGAAAAAATTGAAATACTCATTAGATTGGTAGAACATAAAAGAACAGAGAAACATATTCAAGCAAACTCTAAAAGAAAACATTCCAAAATTCTTTCTAAGTTTAAACAATTTTTTTTTGTGTGTACTTTTACCTTGTAAAAATATTTTACAGTAGGTGATTAAGAAAATAATAATAATGATTTATAAACTAGATTTGCTCAAGATTATTATATTCGGTATTATATATTCGGGTCAGGATTTTATAAAAAACGCGAAACCTGGATTTGCTTACTGGAAAATAGTTTCAACCAGTTATGAATTGTATCGCTTTCTGTTTAAGCTTTGTATCGCCGATTTAATTAAACATTGTATCGCTTTTTTTTTTAATAAAAAAGAAAAGAGGATTGTTTACGTAATTTTAAAATTGGTTTTAAAAAAGCAAATTGCGAACGAGTTTTTTTTGTTAGTATTCTCTTGGGTAAAAAGTTATGCTTGTATTTTGCAAAATACTTCAAATCAAATATCAATTTTTAACAATTCTCTTTTTTTTTATTATAAAAAAAGAGGATTGTTTACATAACTTTTAAAATCCGTTTTAAAAAAGCTAATTGCGAACGAGTTTTTATTGTTAGTTATTCTCTTGGGTAAAAAGTTATGTTTGTATTTTGCAAAATATTTCAAATCAAATATCAATTTTTAACTGTATTTGAAAAACGTTCTAATTTATAGTCCTATAAAAAATCAAGTGTTAAATAACTGCAATAATAAAAAGAATGTTACGTATTGAAGATTTGACGGGTTCTACAAGACTTGATTTAAATAAACTTAACATTGGGCTCAAAAACTGCAAGATTGAAGATATAAGTACTCCGAGCTCACTAGTGCAATGCGATTTAAACCTGAAAAAAAAAACTTTCGAATTTAAAAATCAAATCAGCCTATTTATGCCCATTGAACCACAGCTTTGGACAAGAGAACAAGTTCGTTATTGGGTACATTGGGCAGTCGAAGAATTTAGTTTAAAAGATATTAGTGTTAACGCTTTCGATATGTTTGATGGAAAAGCTTTATGTAGATTAACACGTGAGGAGTTTCTTCACTATTCATCAGCATACGGAGGAGATATCCTCATTTCATACTTGTGCAGACTATACTATAACTCTATGAGTTGCTTGCAGCTTCAAAATTTGAATTACTCTTTAATGTCAGAACACACAAGTTACCCCTATCAATATAGTACAACGGATTACGCCGCTTCAGCACTTTGTTTGTACGGTGATCCGACAAGCTTATCAGAGTATTCATACCCTTCCAGTGTTAAATATAAGAAGTTCTTACATCATCCATTTTATTTAAATAAATCAAACATTTCTAATATTCAAATAAATTCAGGTCAAGTTAAATTGTGGATTTTTTTATTAGAACTTCTGAGCAATCCACTAAATTCAAAAATTATTCAGTGGACCGGAGAAAATGGAGAATTTCAATTAAATGACCCTGAAGAAGTAGCAAGAAGATGGGGTCAACGAAAAAATAAACCAAGTATGAACTATGAAAAACTTGGACGTGCCTTACGATACTATTATGAAAAAAATATTTTGTCTAAAATACATGGCAAGCGATACGCATACAAGTTTGACATCAGAATGTTATCAGAGTTCAGTAATCCCATTATTCATGCTTCTAATTTCATCTTTAATTCAGATAACTTTGAGAATAGTACAACTTCTGCTTTTCCATTTATTAAGGAGGTTTTAAACTGAATCTAAATTTATTACTCTAAATTTATTATTTAATTTTTTAATATTAAAGTTGTTTTGTTTGTTTTTTTGTAATAAAACGGAAAATACAAATATAGGTTTTGCTTTTTCATTTATTTTAAAATAAAAAATCTGTAATACAATTTCAAATTTACTATTTATCTAGATTGTTTCTTAAATAGGCTGTCTAGCTTTTAAAGTTCAAAACCTTGGAAAATAAAAAACGTCACTGTTGTGCGTTTGTGTGTATGCGTGAGTTGAGAGGTTAGTAATAAATATACATTCGTTCAGCTTTTGAGAGTTGGGAGGCAAGTAATAGATATAAATTCGTGCAAAAATTTCAAAAATTTTTTAAATTAGAGATGTTTTATCATTACTAACTATTATACTTTCCCCTCAGTAATTTTATTGATGTTCAAATGTATATATATATTTTCTTGCCACCTAATAAACAAGAATACGATTTAAATATAATGGAGTATCGTTCAAATATGATAATATAATTTTAAGTTCAAATGATATGGAACTTTTTTTGTCTTTTGTTTTTGCATTGATTTATATATATATATACATATATATATATATATATATATATATATATATATATATATATATATATATATATATATATATATATATATATATATATATATATATATATATATATATATATATATATATATATATATATATATAAAATTTAAGTGACATCTTTAATAGTATGTGTAATTATAAGCATTAAAACATCATATACGGTATCATACTATTTATTTATTTTCTTTATAAGTGATATTTCGGCTCATATAGTAAGAGCCATTATCAAACTAATAAAACCGTTAAAAAAATCCGTTTAAAAAATTATAATAAACGTAAACAAATGATGTGATTGCAACGTCAGATTTCAACATTTTTTAATTTTACAAAAAATGGTTTCCAATGGTGAGTCATCACCAAACTGCCATTGTCGCGATTTAAAACGTTTTCTTTAGGTTTTGAACATTGTACACGTTGTATTTCAATAGCCTCACAAATTTTTCTGGTGTAGTTGTTTGAAATAATAGAAAGCGTATATTATATGAGCCGAAATATCACTTTTAGAGAAAATAAATAAATAGTATGATACCGTATATGATGTTATATATATATATATATATATATATATATATATATATATATATATATATATATATATATATATATATATATATATATAAATGAAGCGAAACATGGCGTTCTTAGACCATCTATACTATTCCAAACAAATCAACTGCCAACTCCTGCTGATTTTTTTAAAGCGTAAGACTATTTATTAAAAATGATAATTGCGCAAGTGTTACTAAAAAAGAAACAGTCATAGCTAATGAAATTAAAGCACTGCACAACAAAGCAAGAGTTCCTACTATTAAAGTCAGCAGCTTAGTTATTCACATAAAGAGACTAATTAACAAAGTACACGATCTTGGTAAATACCCTAGTGGCAAGAAGTCGTCTGCAAAATTTAAATCAAGTTTACTGATGTTAGACCAATTCAATATTTGTCTGTGTAAGTGTTTCAATAATGGTGTTTGAGAAAGGTGAACTTGTTCATGTCCACTACCAAAAAAAAATTTCAACACTTGAATTGGAATTCTGGACAGATCAAAAAACGGTACGGAAGATGATAATAGGAAAAGTAAACAAAGAAAAACAATTAAACTGCGGAAGTTGAAGTTTAATAAAGAAATTGATCCCAGTGAAACATATAACAGTGGTAATGAACAGTAAAAGTCTGATGAAGAATTTTTTCTAATTGAGATGTCAGATGATGAGATGATGTCAATTTATGAAGTGATGTCAAGTCATAATGAGATGTCTAGTGATGAAGAGATCAAGATTTACCCCGTCGGGCATTTGTTTTTGAAAGTTACGTTCTAAATGTCTTTTAAACGTAAGAATGTTTAGAAAACGTTTAAAAGACATTTAAAATACATTTAGAACGTAACTTTAAAAAAAAATGCTCGCTGGGACAACACTAAACAATATTCTGTGTTGTGTGCAACGTCATGGATTGGTATAAAATCATTAACAGGGGTACTTTCCTAATAAAAATGCCATACTAAAATATTTAGTCCTTTTAACACCAGAGAACGCTATCGATCCAGAAAAACTTCTTTGTCAGAAAAATATATGTGGAGAAAAAAGGAAAATAAAAAGCATGCTGTTGAAGTCCATATGGTACTTTGCATTTGAATTTGATAGGAAGCAGGATATTACTTTTGATAAAACAACAAAACAAAGTCTAAAAAAAAACAACGTAATGTGATAGTATCGTTTCTGCAAAACAATTATGTTAATCATTTCATGCGACAAAAAAGTAAATTTGTTGATATGCACAAGAATTGTTACTGAGCATCAACAACATTAAATCATCAGACACATTAGCAGTAGTTGTTTGCGATGGTGCTGTGAATAACACAACAACACAATGGAGTAATCAGAAAATTAGAAAAAAAATCTTGGGATAACATTGCAATGGTTTGTCTGCTTGTAACATCCAAATGAACTACCTTTTAGAAAATATTTCTCTGTTCTGGATGGTGAACGTTCAACAGGTCCAGCTACTTCAACTGGTAAAATAGGTTGTTAACTAAAGTTGAGTATTTAAGTGTTGATATTAAAAATAATTTAAGCTTTGATCAGGTACACCTTCCCAAAGCTTACTTAGCTGTTCAGCAGGGATATACTGGTTGTGGTCAAATATTGTTCCTCCAGACAGCTATGCCAAGAAATTTCCATCATGCATGATAACTAACAAAGGCCAATCGTATTTTAGGTTTGTATGTGTCTAAGGAAAGTCTTTCAAAACCATTGCATAGATTACAAGATTCATTGGAAATGTTTGTATGCCATCTCGATTCAAATTTAGCGTCATTCTTCCTGCTTTGACAAAGTAAAATATTTCTTTTATCTTATAAAACAGTGCTATGAACTAGGGAAGAAAGACTAGGAAATAATTGAACAAGTGTTCCGAAAGAACTGTTATTTTGAGGAGGAGTTACAGATAAAAATGTATTAATTTGTCAGTTTTCATGTGACAAAATAATTGACGCACGAGCTACATCATAAAGTAGCAAGCTATGTGAACTTTGAAAAAGAAGCTTCCCAAACAAACATCCAGCTTAATCGGAAAGCTTTGTTATATCATCTTATAAAGATGATTGACTGGTCTGTTGCCATCATAAAACCACCACCACTTTTATCAACTGTTTCTAAAGATGAACATTTCCAGTTCTGCGTTGCTGTCTTGAGTGTTATTCCATGCCATTCTCAGGCAGTTGAACGTATTATTCAAGACATCTTAGCAACCACTATGAAAGTTTTTGGACACATAATACGGCATGATTTTGCAGTGTATAAAATTTTGAGCAGAATTACCAAATAAATCTAAATCTGGCTACTTTAGCCGTAACAAATTGCAAATAACTGAAACAATTTGTTTTTTATGTGTTCCTTACTACACTCTGGCTATTTTGCCTTCACCAACTGCTTGCATTTTTAAATTTAATGTAACAAGATGTTGAGTAATGGAACATGGCATTAAACCACATGTATTTACATTATACGAAGTAATTTGCACTTTATTGCAATCCAAGACACGCTTCCTTTTTATTTCAAAAGGAATTTTTTTCATAAGTAAACTATAATGCAAATTTTTAGTAATGTTTCACACTACAAACTTTACAATTACATCATAATGATCCCAGGGATATTGAGAGCTTTCATAACGCCTAGGGCATAGCAGCAATTAGGCGCCCCATTAAGCTTGCATATTTTAAATTAAAAGCATGTACAAACTTGTTTTTACTTCTAATACCGTTACTTAATATCCACATTTTGATGAACCGTATCTGAAATACTCATGCAACACATTTACTGATTCTGATTAACATTCAGATCCTCCGCAATTAATATTGAAAATCACTTTTTTCTTGCTTTTTTACTAGCATTGTTGTTATTATTTCATCTTACGGCAAAGTTGTCTCCAGTTCATTTTTAACATGTATCTCCGATCGACGCTCATGTCTTATAGTGGCCCAACAATCATTTTTTAAAATCACTTTTACTTTACTTAAAGGTCGTTCACCTTTTGCGACAGGGGTGGTGTTACGTTAAAAAATTCAAAATTAGCATGCGTGTCGAAAAAATTCAATTAGCACGCAAAAAAAAAAAAAAATTCAAATTAACAAGCATTAACATAGCAATGAATATATATTGGAAAATAGGCTATATACACTTTGAGCATATTTGATTGAGAAAGCCAAAAGTATTTCGAACAGTGGAAAACGAAGACTTCCTCAAACTATTAAGATACAAAATATCTTCCAAAAAGTTGTCTTCTATTTTACAAGCTTTAATTTTTACCGGTTCTTCATATTTCAACAAGATGATAAAGAATCTTAAACGAAAAGTTCTCATTTAATCAGTTTTCATTAAACAAAGAGTTCTCATTTAATCAGTTTTTATTAAACGAAGAGTTCTCATTTAATCAGTTTTCATTAAACGAAGAGTTCTCATTTAATCAGTTTTCATTAAACGAAGACTTTTCATTTGATCAGTTTTCATTAATTTTTATTAAAGCTAAAGTAACATTATTACATTAGCAGAAATTTCCTGTGGTCATTTTGCTATTAGTTTTATAGCGGCAATCTGAACTGAACGTCTAATGTCCAAAAGCTTGTAAAACATGATCTTTTACCTAGCGGGACTACAACCGAAAACAAAAGTATCTTTATTTATTTATCACAATAAAATATAAAACTTATTCCTAAAAAGTTTAATATTGATAAAGGTAGGCAGCATCAGGCTTTTATATGATGACGATTGGTATTGCTGCAATCAAAATAAGATCATAAACATACAGTATCGGACAAAACAAGTGCAACCAAATAATGCTAATTTAGTTTTTTTTATATAAAAGTGCTGCATTTTTTTTAATTTAGAGAAATAACTATGTAACTGTTTAGAGACAATGTTCTTCAAGTTTTATTCATCACAAAGTTCATTATTTGTACACGAAAATTAATAAATTAATCAAAAGTATTAGAAAAAGTTGATTTCCTTATGGACAAAACAAGTGCAACTCCACAAAATATTGACCAAGCTGTTTTTCGCTATCAATATTTCGTGGCGAATTCTTTGTTGTCGATCACAGCCTTGCATCTTCGAGGCATAGATTCGATCAGGTGATCAATGAAACTTTGTGTAATTGCTGCCCAGGCCTTTTGGATTTGTTCAAATAGTTGATCCTTATTACGAATACCTTCACGATTATTGCTGCGGTTGACAATATCCACAAGTTCTCGATAGGGTTGAGATCCGGAGATTGAGGCGGTCAATCCATCACCGATAGGTGGTTGTCTTATAACCACTGTTTGATTACTTTTGCAGTGTGTTTCGGATCATTGTCTTGCTGAAAAACCCATTTTATTGGCATATTCCATTCAACATGAGGTAACATAACATCTTTCAGGATATTTTTATACATGAAACGGTCCATTATTCCATCGTTTCGATGTATTGGACCTATCATTACATTAACCCCAACATGCTTCACGGTCTTATGGCAGTAACGTAAATCGAGGCGTTTTCCGGCCGGTCGACGTACACGGCAAATGCCATCGCTCCCAATGATGTTAAACTTCGATTCATCACTAAACAGGACAGTTTGCCAGTTCTGCACATTCCAGTCAATATGAGATGTAGCAGACAGGAGTCTTTTCTTCTGGTTCTTCAGTGAAATCAACGGTTTCTTTGCAGGGCGTCGAGAAAACAATCCGGCTTCAACAGCACGTCGTCTGATTGTTCGGGCAGCTCTAATTGCTTTTGTATCTCGACTGATAGTATACAGTCATCCTTCTTGACTGATCTGACATTTATAGAATCCTCTCTAGAAGTGGTGGAACACGGTCTTCCACCTTTGTTATCTGTTGTTAACTTCCCCGTAGAACGATATTTGGAACATAGTCTTGATACGGTCCATTTTTTCACGCGATATGAAATGATTTGAACCTGTTAATACTTGAGATCTCCCTAATAGTATCGCCTACTGATAATTCCAGTCTATGATTTGCACAATGCCAAACTATAACAGAAAAAAACCTTTCATTGATTAATTTGAAAACGCCACTCTTGCATCCTAACAGCCATCACATGCTACACAAGCTAAATAATTTTTCAAATAATCATCTTTCATCCCATAAAAATGAAGACATTCAAGTAAAGTATTAAATAATCCTTTAGCCGTAACACTTTCAAGCTCTTCTAATTCCTAAAGTAAATTGATAGGTGAAATCATTCCGCTATCTTTGACACAGCACCGAATGTACACTACCAGTGTCGATTTTTGGCTTATATTGGTTGATTCATCAATTATTATCGAAATTACTCTTTGACGTTATGACTGCTGCAATAATTTTTTTCCTCATTTCGTTACCTATATGATTGACAATATTAATGCATGCGTTTGTAGAATGAAGAATACGACCCATTTCAACTCCGTTAATTTCTTGAAAATCAATTTCCATTTCAAAGTTATTAAAAGACTGGTTTCCTTTTGCAACTCTATATGCAGTTCGCAAAATGTTTGGTGTTACAACTTTCTCACGCGTTAAAGATTTTAAAATATTGTTTGACAGAGTCTCTTTTTTAGCTTCTTCTACCATCTTTAATGCACCTTGATGTCCAGCAGATTCTTTGTGATCAAATATTTTCTTACGTAACGAACTTAACTGTTGCTTTCTATCTTCACCATAGTAAGAGACTTCTTAATTCGACCATTCTTTAGATATTTTCATTCCCATCTTAGCTTCTACGCCAATTGTTTTCACTTTTTGGCAGGTAGCGCAACCGAGTTTATTTTGTCGATAATAAAGCCACTCGTTTTTGGAACAAAACTCTGTTTTTTGCTCTAAAGTCCAGCAACTTGGCCAGCTATAATTGGCTTGTAATTGTCTGCAGAAGGTAAATCTGACGTAGTAATTTTGATTTCATCTGTTTCTTTTACATTTAATTTGATTTTTTTCTAAACAGGGGAGTCCACCGAGAAGAAACTGTTAATTTTTTCATAATTAGTTTTGCGTTATTTTGTTTAATTGATATTTTTATATCGCTATTTAAAAATATAAATTAGGTTATAACTTTGAATTTAAAACGCTAATAACAGGAAATTCATTAACGATATAATAAAAATTACTGTTGCAAATAGCGTAAAGTTTGTGTTTTAAAAATATAACTTTTTTAAGTAGCGTAAGGCATTGTGAGAATAATATTCGCACAAACATTGCACAGAAACAATAGAATTTCTTTAAAAATTTTTTAAAAAGACATATGGTTGTTAGATTTATAAGGAAAACACTAAATCCAATCTTCAAAGTGCAATCTAAATTTTACTGACCAATGCGATCTCCAACGGAATTATAGTTGTAATTTAAAATAATAGAAATCTGAGATTTTTATTATTTTATGTATTTAATATTTATTATTAATCGCGTTATTATTAATAATATTTGTACTTAATATTAATTTGATAACATTTATATCACATTGTAAATGCCGTGATCGGGTCTAGAATTTTTAAAAACGGATTGGATTTAACGTTTCCCGATTTATTATCGGAAAAACAATGACATATTAAAAACGAACGCTATTATAATAGCGTTCGTTTTTTTTTTTTTTTTTCTTTTCTTATAAAAAAATAAGAAAATAAATTTATCTTGAGCAAATTTTGAAACGCAGCGCTGTTATGTTTCAAATCTGCAAAAAATGCTTAATATTTAAAACTGAACAAATTTCATTATATAATAAAACGAAAAAAAAAAATGTTTACATAAAGCAAAAAAATTATATATATATATATATATATATATATATATATATATATATATATATATATATATATATATATATATATATATATATATATATATATATATATATATATATATATATATATATATATATATATATATATATATATATATATATATATATATATATATATATATATATATATATATATATATATATATATATATATATATATATATATATATATATATATATATATATATATATATAATATAATATAATATATATTCAGGCGCGGATTTAGAGGGGGGCACAGCCGGCTTGTGCCCCCCCCCCCCTAAAATTTGATTAATTTTTTATTTATAATTATGTCGATCCATGCAAATGTTATATTAACAAAACTTGTTAGAAAAGGGTACTGGAAACTGTCTATTTTGGGTTGTCATTTCATTAAAAATCATTGGCGGCTGATTATAGACCCCAGAAGGGGAGGGGGATACCCCCTCCCCATAAACCCCACCCCATTTGTGCCCCCCTATCTTTACAACCTGTATCCGCCCCTGATATTGTATCAGGTAGAACATTGTATATATAAATATATATATATATATATATATATATATATATATATATATATATATATATATATATATATATATATATATATATATATATATATATATATTATATATATATATATATATAGTATTTTAAAATATTTTTCATTTTTTGTTTAAAAAAGATTTCGCAACGCAATGACTTTTAATGACAAATAATTATCATAAAAATTTTGATTTAATATTTTGACATCGAAAAGAGTCTAGAAATATTTTTTGGTATCAAATTGGTAAAAAAGGCACTTTGCATAAAAAGGGGGTCGATCGCACCCAACGACGACTCCCCCCCCCCCCTCACAGTACGGGATTGATATATATATATATATATATATATATATATATATATATATATATATATATATATATATATATATATATATATATATATATATAAATATATATATATATATATATATATATATATATATATATATATATATATATATATATATATATATATATATATATATATATATATATATATATATTCAATTTTTTATTTCGTTTGACTATTATTTTTCGGTGAACGTCACATTCTCGTCTTCACGCAAATATAAACATTATTGGAGCGCTTTTTATTTAAATTCTAAGAAAATGGATACGTTATTATTAAATTAAGTACGTTATTATTTTTTTTTAAAAAAAAAAAAACAGCGGTTATTGCAGAAATGATATTTTTGCATTTTGTTCTGAATTGACTTTTGAAAAATATTGCTATTTATAAACTTAAAGGCTTTGATTTCTGAAGCAACTTGTATAAAAAGATATAGTTCATAAGATATATTTGAGGAAATTCACTATGCATGTTATTATTTGTATATCCATAAATGATAATATACTTAAAGATTTGACATAAAAAAGGAGTATTATAATTTCAAATTTTTATTTTAAGTGAAAGATATCAACTTCTATAAAATTAGTAAAATATTTTATAATTTTGTTGAATGAAAATCTTTCCTATAAATCTCATCACTTGTTTAGCAGACAAAAATCATACAAATAAATTACTTGTATGTTGGCCAAAGTAAGACAATTTGTCAACTTGGAAATTGCGACTAGCATGTATCACGCCATATTTAAATCTCTCTTAATATATGCATTTTATCTGGCAAAAAACTAAAACTAAATTCTAAAGTTTTCTCACTTCAAAATAAAAATATTAAAACTACTATTTTTTAAAGTAAGCTCTTTGACAATATTTATTGTTATATAAATAATCAAAGTTTTTAAAAATAAATGAGAATATCAAACTTTTTGATTTGTTTCTTTATATGTGATTATTTGTATGGAAGACTCCCAAATACTTCTTTTAAGTCAGTATCAAACACTCCTACCTCTTTAAAACCTCATCATGCAAAACTAAATTTTTAGAACAATGTTGAATAATTAAATATGAAAAACTCAAAAAAGTTATCAATCCACCAATTAACCAAATAATTGAGTCTCCCACTGCATAAAAACTGAAAATTCAAATTTAAGATCTGCCTTTTAAACTAAAATTATATACTCATAAAGTATCATCCTTACAATATTCATAAAGTATCATTATTTATAGACTTATGTCTACACTAAATATATTACTTATATATAAATATGTTATTTATATATCCTATTACCTATTTTTATTACTAATAATAGTTTATTTCTATTTATAATATTACTCTCTTAAATCACTTTTGCCTTTATTTTATGACTTCTTTTACGTCTAACAATTTTAAAGTCTAACAATTTTACTATTTTAAAGTTATCGTTTTGAGTATATTATTGTTATTATATTAATAATATAACAACAATAATAATAAAAATTATAATAATAATTATTATTTTTACTAGGTATACATTTAATTCGACAATATCATTGTCATTGTTTTTCTTTTGTTTTTAAATACTTTTTCTTTTTCTTTGGTTGTTTGATTGTTATTTTCTTTTTTACAAGGTCTCTTGTTTGCTTCGAATTAGTTTGATACTATTTATAATGTCCTTTATAAGAATTGTATTTTTGTTAAGGACATTATAAAATGTAAAAGTTTTGAATTATACAATATAAAATTTTGTTAAAATCGTTATTCAAGATGGATGACTGTTTTTAATCCATATACTTGCTAATCAAAAATCTTATAAACATATGTACTTTCTTAAAACATTTTAAGAAAGATCATTGAATTTAGAATGATTGAAAACCAAATGGAACAAATATAAATAATTTTTTTTTTTTGAAGACAATATTTTCAGTTACATTTACTTAATTAAAAATGCAAAAAAAAAAAAGAATTTTTTTTTGAGAAAAGTGGCTGATGACCCCCAATGCCCCAGCCTTATAAACCCTCTGGTCATTTGCCCCAGAAACAATTTTAACACATGTTCATCACGACTACACAAATGTTGTAAGTTTCAGAGCTCCAGTTGGTCTGGAAAGTAGTAAAAAATATCACAAGGTTCTGTTACAAAAAAAGTGGGCTCATAACCCAGCCTCCTTCCCCCCCCCCTTACTGGTGTCTTGGGCCCTGAAAACAACTTTAACATGCATGTTCACCAGCACTACAGAAATGCCAAAAGTTTCAGAACTCCAGCTAGATGGAAGGTAGTGAAAAATCAATTGCAATACTCTGCAACAAAAAAGTGAGAATTGTGCCCCGTTATCTATATATGGACTTGCAGATCAAAATCTTTATATTTTTTGAAAGACCAATGAATATAAAATGATGTGTAATATCTTTTTTTTTTGATATCATCAAGGCCACATAGGTTTCTTGAGTATCAAAATCAGGTATATAAAAAACTGCCTGAATCTATTAAAATTGATAAATACAGATACTTAAAAATAATTTTTTATATTTCTGATCATTTCATTAGAATTGCCACCCCTGAAAATAGCCAGGTACAATTTTTTAAGTAAAAAGATCAAATATTTTTAAAGTTATGTAACTTGAAACCTATAAATAAACGTTGCAATTCTAAGGGGACAAGAGGGGCCTGGCCAACAACTGTTAAAAGTAATATGTTCATATTACAGGATCTTCTTTGATCTAGAGGCTAAAATTTTTAAGGAATTCTTATTTTACTAAGTACTCTCAACTGTATAAAAATCAGTAAAATTTGAGATATAGGGTGACATTTTAAAAAACTTCTGGGTCATTTGATATGGAATTGCCCAAATACAAGTTTGATATAAAATAACATACAACATGTACAATTTAATAACTTTATCAAAATCCAGGAACGCTATATTTTGTAATCTTTTTATTTACATCAGAATGATCATGTTAAAAGCTTTAGTTTCCAATGTCATAAGCAACAGGATTAAGTCCAATTTTAATTTTTCATTTTTTAAATACTTATTATTACTCAGTAAAAAAATCTTTTTTGTTAGCAAAAAATAAAATACTTGAGAGTCTCCTTAAAAAAAGCTTTGCTGAAAAATGAATTTATTTTCTTTCTTAAACAATTATTGCTTTATAGCCTCAAAATATGTGTATTTAGTACTTTTTTTCTTGGATTTTTTATAGACATCATTTTTTGATATCATCATTATCTTGGCATTCAATTTTTGTATATATACACAGTTTTTGTGGATGACAAAACTGTAATAAAAATTTAAAAGTTTTCTCCAACTTCAAATGAGCTTCTTTACTAATAATGTAATAATAAGTAATAAAATTCATGAATGATTTTAAAACATTTATATTGTGATGTTTAACACAAAAAAATGTTAACTAAAATAGTAGCATTTAGATAATAACACAAGATGATTTTAAATTTATCTCAGGCTGAGACCAGGTATAAAACAATATTAAAATTTTGAAGGGGTCTTATCAGTTACTATACAGGTGTGTAATTTTTCTTTTTTTAATTTAGTAACATTTTTTTGAAATTTAGGAATGTTGATTGTTATTTGGTTGCTTATTACTAGTGTAATTTACACTAAACAATTTGATGACATTGAATCAAGTTGTTCTAGCGGAGGATGTGATGGAGAAAATGAAATAAATCATGAAAAGAATAAATATAAAAACCCTGATGGTATACTATCTATATTAAATGATTTGTAATAGTTTGCATTTTAACGTCTTTTATTTATAATAGTTGTTATTCCTATTTTTTTTATATTTGTTTAGTCTATTTATTAAATAGTTTATGTTTATGCAGATAAGTGTTGTTGTTGTTATGCAGGTAAGTGGAGTAAATATATTAGGCTGATCAAAGATTCTGTATCAATGTACAAGCCGTGCAAAACTGAGGACTGTTTTTTGTTGCAAAGGCGAGCTGACTTTCGGTTATGGATAGATCGTGGGGGTATTCATGAATCAGATTTTCAAAATGGAATAAAATTAGGAGAGCATTACAAAATAATAAACCATACTTTATTTAGAAAGAAAGAATGTATTTTTCCATCCAGGTTAAGTTGATGATATTTTTTAAATGTTAATTTTTTTTTTTTTAGATAAATCAGATATTAATTATTTTCAAAAAAATTATAAAGATATAAATTGAAAAAATATTTTTAAAGTTTTTGAAGTTAAGTTAATTCAAAGTTTAAAGATTGCAAATTACTTTTTTTTTTCTTTAAAGAAGTTAACTGTTTCAATTCAAAGTAGTGCTTTATAGAAGTTAACTGCTTTTCTGTATTTTTTTATTTATTTATATATAGATTTTTATTTATTTATATATAGATTTTTATTTATTTGTATATAGATTTTTATTTATTTAGATGTAAAGGAAATGAGCATTTTATTCTGCAATTAATCAACCAACTTCCTGATATGGAAATGATTATTAACACTTATGATTGGCCTAAAGTAAATATTTATAATATTCAAAGTAAATAATTATAATATCAAAAGTAAATATTTATATTATCAAAAATCTGATGCTTTATTATAGACTGCCTAGATTATTGTTATCATTAAAAAATCTTAAAAAATCCTTAACAATTATTTTTATTAGTTTGTCTGAATAATAAATATTATTAATTTTTATTTGTCGATGAATGGATAAATTCAGAATGACTGGATGAATGAGGGAATTTATAAAAATCACAAAATTTAATTTATAAATTAATTAAATAATTACTTAACGAGTAAAAATAATGTTTTTTGTGTTTATAGGTATATAAATATTCAGCACTTGCTCCTGTTTTCTCGTTCAGTAAACAGGTTTGTCTTTTTAAAATTTTATTTAAAATGCCATTAAATTAAATTTATTTTTCTCAAGTAAATCAGGTATCTTAACAAGTTTACATAAAAAAAAACTTTTTACTATTTTTATACACTTAATTTGGCTTGTAAGTTGCTTGTAAGTTGCTTGTAAGTTGCTTGTAAGTTGCTTGTAAGTTGCTTGTAAGTTGCTTGTAAGTTGCTTGTAAGTTGCTTGTAAGTTGCTTGTAAGTTGCTTGTAAGTTGCTTGTAAGTTGCTTGTAAGTTGCTTGTAAGTTGCTTGTAAGTTGCTTGTAAGTTGCTTGTAAGTTGCTTGTAAGTTGCTTGTAAGTTGCTTGTAAGTTGCTTGTAAGTTGCTTGTAAGTTGCTTGTAAGTTGCTTGTAAGTTGCTTGTAAGTTGCTTGTAAACACATTACAAGTAATTAAACTTATGTATAGTAATAATAGATTAAAAAAACTTTATAGATAAATGGTTCTTATGATATTTTATATCCAGCATGGTCCTTTTGGGAAGGTGGTCCTGCAATTGGTCCATATCCAACTGGGATTGGAAGATGGGATATATTTACTCAAACACTAACAAAGTATGGATTGTTGCTATAGTTATCATAAGTTTTTAAATTTTTTATATAATATATGAAAAAGAAAAAGAAAATTTTACGAGCATAAATTTTAGAACAGTTTTTATTTCATTTTAGTATATTTCTAGTATATGCTTATTATAAGAACAAATGCATGTAAATAAAAACAATTTTATTTTTATTATTTATAATAATAATTTTACTATTTTTAATAAAAAATTAAAATAGCTAGAAGTTAGTTATAAATCTAGGTAATACTATATAAGAATCTTTATTTGTCATGTTCACACTTCTTTTAATTTACTGTATAATGTATTTGTCATGTTCACACTTCTTTTAATTTACTGTATAATGTATTACACATATTATAAACAATCAGGAATTATACTTGTTTTATAAAAAAAAAAAATTATAATTTTTTAATTTTTTAATATTTTATTATTATTATTATTATTATTATGATTTAAATACTTTTATGAAACTACAAACTACATTTACAAATATCTTTACTGATAAAATCTATCTAGAAATTGTTTATAATCTTTATTAAAAATACTACATTAAACATAAAATTTAATACTAATGTTGTTCTTATTATCTTATTATCTATTTATCTTATTATCTACAATAGAGAACTGTTGTAGATAATGCTTTTTAACTTCATGTTATATTGATATGATTGATAAAAATCATAATTAAAAAAAAAATATTATAGAATTAACACCAAATAATTATCTGAATTCATAATAGGTATCTGAATTTTTAATAGATATCTGAATTCCTAATAGATATTGTAATGTTGTTACTGTTGCACAAACTGTTGGTTCATTATGGACATTGCTCCACCCATCAATACTTATGGTTATGGACTGGTCATGAAGCAAACCTGAACAGCTAGTTAAACTGTTCTTTTAAACAGTAGTAGTTTTCTACCAATATCAATTCTGTTAGTAAGGTTATATCCTGGGAATAAAAAATGGATCATTTTGATAAACTCTGGATGGTCAACCATTCTAAAAGGCAAGTTAGCAGCATAAATCATTCTTACTATCTGCTTCTTTTTCAGATTATGTGCTTTTAATAAAGTATGAATCCAATTTAGTTGTCTTGCCACTGTTTGGTCTTGCCTTTTTATATGAACATTAAAAATTTGCTTTATCTACAGTAGATTGACTAGATTCCACATTGACTAGTTTGTGCTTCTTCAGTTGCCTGATTAATATTTTCTACAGTGTCTTGACAAATGTTTTCATCATCTTGAACATCTTTCAAAAAATTAAATTTACCAACACTTTTGTGGTTTCTTATTCGAGCAACCAAACTTTGCATTTGTACACCATAGCTTATGCATTTACCCTTTTTTCCCAAACTTTGCTGGTATTTACCACCGCAGCTTCTGCATTACCCTTTTTTCCCAAACTTTGCAGGTATTTTTTCAAACCATATCCAATCAGCATCTCTTTTTCTATTGGCATGATTTTTGAATCAATCCTGATTCAAAAATCGAAAAAAAACAAAAAAATGTATGTTGATGACATATCACATCAACATACAGTGTTTTTCTTTTTTTTTTTTTTCGTTTATTTTTTTTTGATTTTTGAATCAGGATTGATTCAAAAATAAAAAAAAAAAGGTGATAAGTTAGGAAATATTACTCGAAATTGTAATAAAATATTGAAAACCATCTTACTACTAAAAAATTTTCTTAAGATTTCTTTGGGGATTCTTGTTTCTTATAGATCAGTTTCTTAAAAAATATATATATTGTCAGTAGGCACTTATAATGTACTTAATTTTTAGGAAAATTTAAAATTTTTAAATTGTCAATATGTTTTATTAGTTTTAGTTGACAAACATGCTAAATAGTGGTGTACAAAATTAAAAAAAAAAAAAAGTATAAATATTTAAGCAAAAAAAGTAATTTTAACATGTATTTAAACAATACAAGGCTTTATAATTGGCCGAGATTTTAAATGCTACTGTAAACGTACTCAAAGCTACTTTATGAACAAAGATTAAAAATAATGAATTTAACTTTTTTTTTTTTTTTTAATTTACCTTTTTTTTTGAATTTTTAAATTACCTCCTTTTTTTCTAATTTACCTCTTTTTTTTTAATTTACCTTCTTTTTTTTTAATTTACCTCCTTTTTTTTAATTTACCTGCCTTGTGAAGGGCACTACAGTCGAGGAAGCTATTTTTAGTTGCGGTTACAACATTCTCTTAACTCAATAACTCCAAGCTTGTTTACAATTTGTTTTTGTACCTTGTCTAAAAGAGAAAGGGCATCATTAGAAGATCCACCCCAGATATAGCAACAATATTCTATACAAGAGCGTGTTTAAAATTTTTTCAGATAAAGAATAAAATTCTGAGTAAGAAAGTGGTGAGCATGGTAAAGAGATGCTAGTTTTGCAATCAATTTGGTATATGGTTTTTTAAGAAGGATTGGAAGTAAGAGTTGTTCCTAGAAGACGAAGGGTAAATAACATAACATACAAAATATATGGTACAAAATAAATGACTTATGCAAAAATATTGTAAAGCTTTTAATATTAACTTGGCATTCTCTTCCTTTAAAATTTGTCAACAAAAGATAAAACTCCTCGACATCTCTGCTCAATTGTCATATATAAGTTGTGTAAAAGCTGTAATACTTGTTATCTGGATCAAACCACTCGACATTTGAATAAAAGAAATTGAGGAACACTTAAAATTATAAAAAACTTCTCATATAAATCAACATATTTATTCAAAAGCTAGTTTTAATATAGCCAATAAAGACTCTTTTTTCAGTATTAGACTACGCCCAAACTTCGCATCAGTTAAAAATCAAATAACATTATGTGGGAAAAATCGGATCTTAATAAACAGGTTTTTAATTACCTATCACTCCAGCTGTAATCAACATTTGTAAATTACATACTCACTCCAGCTGTAATCAACATTTCCTATTACTCTATGATGTATGTATTACACTAATTATCTACATTTTCCATTATTTTATGACATTGGTTTTCACACCTTTCATGTTTTCTTTTTGTTTGATTAACAAATAAAATTAATGTTTATTTTCACTATATATTAAATAGTTTTTATATTTAACAGTTTTATACTTGAAAATGATTATTTTATAATTAAAACATGTTGTTGAAACTGAAAAAAATTGATATATTTATTTATATAAAATTAAAAGTTTTGAATTGTTTTTTTTTATCATTAGTAGAAATACTCTAATAGAAACCAAAAAAAAAAATTCATTCATTCAAGATGATTCTAGAACAAAATGTATTTTTATTACTCTCATGTTAATTAAATTTATTATTAGTATAAAATAAAAATAAATAGTTAATGTATATTTGTACATAAAAGTATACATACACTTTTTATTAGAGAAGCTGAATTGTGGCCATGGGAAAAAAAGTTGAAACAAGGGTTTTTTCGAGGTTCAAGGTATACTTTTTTTTTATCAACATTTATATATATATATATATATATATATATATATATATATATTTGTGTTAGGGTGGTTCTAAAAACACCTTTTTTTTAAATTGACTGCTGGTACCCCCTGAATATGTAATATATAATAAAAAAATATTGGATTTAAAAAATCTTAGAATAAAAAATATTTTAAGG